CCCCTGGGTGGTGTGGATGCTGCTTGTAGGAGGACCATGGGTGGGTGTGGCGATGGACTCTCTGCTTAAATCTTAAGTTTTACGCACACCCTACTAACTGACTCTCATTACCAACCACCAATATGTTCATTACAATGTCTTAGCAATTGTAATGAACATATTTTTCATTTCTAAAAGCTTAATATAAGCTCTCTGTGTGTTTTGTTTTTTTCAAATCTGCCTGAACACAATCTATTGCTTTTTTAAATTTTCAACTCAGTGCCAGAGTTCAAGGTCTTCCATGCTGTGCCAGGAGTGCAGGTGGAGCTCAGGGTTCTCAGCCGGTTGTAATGATGAGAGCAGAGCCTGCTGGACCCCACCTTTATGCAGAAAGAGGATGCTCCTTTATCCCAGTCCCCACCTCCAGCAAGCGTGGGGATTGATGTTTTGCCTAGGCACCAAGTCAGACTCATAGACTCAAGTTCACCTTTTCTCACCTAGACAAATGCCCGTGAGGCATCATTGCTGCTTTGTTCCTGAGTCTCTGGGAGGTGGCAGTCACCTGACTTTGGCCTCTGAAGATCTCTTATTAACTTGCTAGCTCCCTGATACATTTAAAAGGACAGTGTTAAGATTTTAGCCATTTTTAGAAGTTTGCCATGGAAGAGTGTGCCAGCATGGGCAGTCACCATATTGTTAGAAGGACCAGTCCCCATAACTTTGTTAAAAACATTCAGAGCTGTTGAATCTCAAGTTGTCCCAACTGCCACCTTTTCAGAACCTAGTAGGCAGGTGGATCTTTCTAATCCCTGCAGGGAGCTTCCTTGATGGGATCCCAGGAGGAAATGCTCCTCCACTTACCCTGGGAACCACACAAAGTGGGTGTCTTTCCCACAGGGGGGCTGTCAGGCTGTTTACACTGTCAGGCAGTGGGAAAGTGTCACATGGGCAGGAAACCTGGGTAGAAAACAAGATCCCACTGTCCCCTCTCTCCACCTGGAAAGTGTTCCCCTTTAGAGGCCTGGGAGGTCAGATGGGCCCTGCGGCCACTCGGAAGGAGGTGGGGGCGTCCTTTTCCTTCCCTGTCCATATTTATATTTTGTCTTTATTTTCTTCAGAAATCTCTGCCTTATTTAGAAAATCAAATTAAGGAAAGTCACCAGAAAATAACAGAGGAGTTACAAAAGTATGGCGTGGATATACCTGACGATGAGAATGAAAAAATGTTCTTCCTGATAGAGGTGAGTGCCGCTGGCCTCCTCCAGGAGAATCACGTGCCTGGAGCATCTTTCTCGCTCCTTCAAAAGCTGATCCACAGGCTTAGTTCACAGTGTTCCCAGCAGGCAGGGCGTGGTGGGCCGGTGAGGGCAGAGTCAGCAGTTCCAGGTGTCACATTTCACCTTCTTGACTCCGTCCTGAGCACTCACCTGGATCCCCAAGGCAGTAGGGGGAAGGGTGGGGCCTTTTGGGGCCTTTGGCCAAAGCCACTCCCTTCCAGATTCCACAGTGTGCCCCTAGGGAGCTGAAGAACAGCCCCCTCACCCTCAGCAAACAGGACCTCCAAACCCCCTCAGCACTTGCATCTGAAATATCTCTGCTTAGACTAATGTTTTCCTCCTGGCAGAAAATTAACGCATTTAACCAGGACATCATTGCATTAATGGAAGGGGAGGAAATTGTCGGGGAGGATGACACTCGGCTGTTCACCAAACTCCGAAATGAGTTCCGCAAATGGAGCATTTTAATAGAAAATAATTTCCAAGACAGTGAGTACCTTAATCCCTTTGAGCTGCTCTAGAAAAATGCCTTACACT